CCTGCGACCCCAAGGCAACTCTTGACTTTCTTGCATCTGCGCCTGTAAGTCTCGCTTCTGCGAGGCAACACCTGCGGACCCCCCACCGCAGGTGCGAAAACACTAGAACCAGCAAAAATCAGAAATTCCTCTAAGTCCATGCTTTCACCCATTAAGCATCCGAAACACACCTGAGGCCCCCGAGACCTCAACCAAACATACCAACCAATCCTAAAACACCATGCGAGCTTAGTCGAGCTCTCAAATCCCATCAAACAACGCTAAAATCACGAATCACCCTCCAATTCAAACTTAAAGAACTTGAAACTTCAAAATTCTACAACTGATGTCGAAACCTATCAAATCACGTCCGATTGATCTCAAATTTTGCGCACAAGTCATAATCAACATTATGGACCTACTCCAACATTTGGAATTGGAAAACGACCCCGATATCAAAAATTTCACTGCCGGTCCAAAACTCCAAAAATTTAACTTTTGTCATTTCAAGCCTAAATGAGCTACGAACCTCCAAAACACAATCCGGACATGCTCCTAAATTCCAAAATCATCTAACATAGCTAACGGAACCAACGGAATTCCATTCCGGAGTCATCTTCGCACAGTTCCGACTACGGTCTAAATCCTAAGGCTTAAGCTCTCATTTAGGGATTAAGTGTCCCAAAATACTCCGAAACTCAAAACCAATCATCCCGACAAGTGACAATAGCAGAAAAAATTTGGGAAAAGCAGTTAATAGGGGATCAGAGCTATTACTCTTAAAACGACCGGCCGGGTCGTTACAAGTGAGCATATCGATATTTGACTACTTGACTTGAGTTGTTCCTTCATGTGCGGTTTGGAGAGCCTCCCAGATCTCCTTGGCAGATTGACAAGCTGAAATTTTGTTATACTCATCTGGTCCAATACCACAGATGAGGATCTTCTTTGCTCGGAAGTTTTTCTCTATAGCTTTGTGGTCAACATAGTTGTACTTCTTTCTTGTCTTTGGAACTGTCACTGCTAGCTCGCCAATGGTCTTCATAGGGACGAAGGGTCCGTCGCAAATGATATCCCAAAGCTTTGAATATTCAGCCATGATAAAATCATGCATCCTTGTCTTCCACCATCTGTAGTATTGTCCATTGAATCTTGGTGGTCTGTAGGTTGATTGATCTTTTTCAAAGTTTGATGGAGCATCCATGTGGATCCTTTCTAGGTGTTAGCCTTATAGAAAGAACCTGTTCTGATACCAATTGATGTAAACTAAGAGTCCACCAAACTGTATAGAGAACTTGGTTCTCTATCAGTTCCCACAGAATACACACATTAGTAAGTAAATGACACAACAGTATTTTACGTGAAAAACTCCCAGCTCACGGGATTAAAAATCACGACATACACTTGTAGGATTTCAACTTCACTCACCGAGCAAACTTTAGATTACAACCTATTGTAACCTAGTAATTAAACTCTTAATCCCTCACCCACTTGCAATAACTCTATTGCAAGTCCCTTTGTGATAACTCTATTATAAAGCTCACAACTTTGGCTAACTCTAGCCAAACACAAACACATTATTTATGGTTTTACAGAAGATGTCCTACAAGATGATTTTAACTAAGCTGAGTAGGAAAGCAACACACTTAAGAGAGACTTAATGATTTATGGTTTGCAAGTGTGTGTTTTCCCTTGCCTCATGTTAATAATATATAAGTGAGGTCATTGGGATGATGTAAGCAAGTATCTAGTACATAGCATGCTCCATAAAGTGACTGATGCACTGTTGCATGTGCAGTGTAATGACTTTAACAGTTGTAAGAAGTTGACTTGTACTATGACCGAAGGAACTGATAGCCATCTGTTCCCTCTGCTGTTTCTTTGATTGATAATATTGGAACTTGTGCCAGACATGTGACTTGTTGTTATGAGCACTTTGAGGTTGTGTAACAGGTTCCCTATCTGGTTCTCATATGAAGTTTATTAAATCATCAAAATACAAAGGCACATAACTTATGTCACAGAAGTATCTACAATATTTTTAGGAATATATGAGACAATATAAACATATTTTATTTTTGTGAATGTGATGCATATGCATTAATTTAAATGATATTGGTTGTTTCAATATATCTTACATCTTTCATTGTACATCTATTGATTGTGATATTATTATACTTCTTTTTCGTTGCGTCAAAACTCATTGACTGACATAAAAAAGGCATACGAAATGGGAGTCTGAAACCTAATTGTGGTCTTTTTGGACTCAAACAATAAAAATAGGTAAAACAAAATTGAGTACCATTTTATATATAGCGCTGTTATTCACCGCGCTATACCTTAACGACACGTTTGTCCGTTAAGGTATAGCGCGGTGAATAACCGCGCTATACTTGAACTTTCCTACCCCACCAATAATTCAGCTGCACTTTATTGATCCACCAATAATTCATATGGGTATAGCGCATGCAGTATGCGCGCTACATATATAGCGCCTAATATGCATGTACTATACATGAAATAATTGTACCCCCTGGATTGGTTTTGTTCATGGATTCTTCTTTGATGGAAGGAACGAGACAGAAGAGAACTAGAACCATATACTTCACACATTCAGTCTGATCTTATCTGCGCTATTGCCCGATCATAGTTGTACTGTATTAGATTAGTTATCTGTCTCCCATGTCCTATTAGAACAATCTGGTCTATAACAACACAACCTGAAAGGAAGCTATTCCTAATAGGAAGTTTCTAGCCGTCTTTCTTGAGGAGTGAGAAAAGAGAGAAAATGGACTATCTGGTTTGGCCACTACATTTTATGATAAAGGTAGAGATAAATCCCCTTATTTAAGGAGTTTCAGAATTTGATAAAAATTCATTTAGGATCCTTCCGATCTTCCTAAATATTTGTTCGTTAAGTTATTTTGCATTTTGTCATAATGTCCGAAGAGCGAAAAATTAGGGTTTCACTATACTGGGGGTGAGGTTGTGATGGAGAATAACTCAGTACGCTATAGTTATTCTCCACTGTGTCATGTTAAGTTGCCGCTTACGATGGAATACGATAGATTGGTATCATTATTATGCAAAACAATGAGTGTGAGCAAACGTTCGGTTAATATTAAAGTGACTGGAAGATATCCCTATTCTGTTACTCTGCAAGGAGTTGCTTGTTATGCTATGTTTAACATCGAGGGCGATGAAACTCTAACAGATATTTTGAGGACTTCAGATGAACACCGTGAACTTCTTGTGATAAAAATGTTGAAAATGTACGTCAAGGCTGAAGACGTTCGCAATAATGAGGTTTCAAAAAATAGGGATATCCTTCAATCATCGGTTGGTGTTTTGGAGCAGTTTTATACGAACAGGTTGCGGGTGAGAGAGTTTGGCCAGATCTAAACTTATCTCCATGGGCGAATGAGGAGCGAGGACATAATTTATCCCCAAGTTTACATAATCCACAAGCAAAGTGGTAAACTCTAATTTTCCTTTGTTTACGAAGTTTATTTTTTTGTATTGAATTTGTATTAAAACTCATATATTACACAGGGAGTACCAGCCAAATATGAATTTTACAAGCTACGAACCAACAGACAGTTGGAATATGCCTAGTTTTGGTGTGTTGGATCATGGTAGTCCATTCGGGAGTCATCAGCAACAGGATAATGTGCACCATGGAATATCAACATATTTTGATTTGTAAGTTAAGTGATAAAGTTTTTACGTAAAGTTTGGATGGTAGTCCAACCGGTTTGAGGAATATGTTCCTTCTGGACCGTCTCGTAGTGGTTTAATCTCCAAGCAGCGGATTAAGAATCGAGTAAGATGTGATTCTTTTCATTTACACATCTTAGTGTTTGTCAATTTTATAGGAGTAGAAGATATTGTGTGAATTTGGAAGCTTATTTTTAATGATTGGTGACGTTAGATTAAATGTTAGGTACTTCCTTGAATAAATTTTTCTTCTCCATATGAACATTGATTGTTCTATTCGTCTTCCCGGTACTATGGGTGCAAAGAGGTCCCTGATCAATGCATTTATGAAAGTATGGATAATGGTTGGCCTCTTGAATTGGTTTATGCACTGAGGTTTTCAAAATTTCTCCCACAAATTATCAATTATGACCCTCTAGCACTTATAAAAAAATAACTTTTTCTTCTCCCTAGGTGGAAGGTTCACCCGTTTTTTATATTTGTTAAAAGTAGTATGTTAATTTCAGCGATAAGTACTGTAGAAATAAGTACAGGGCGGCTACATTAGGAATTATGTAATGAGTTCAGAATTATCAACCATGTCCACAGTGTAATTTGCAAGAGTCACACCTTTTTTTGGACTCTTGCATTCTTTTCGTCCCAAATAGTCCATCAAATCACTGAAGGAATGGTATTCCAGATTTTCCTTTTTATCTTGCCCAAACCTCGCAGCTGCCAACACTGTAAAAGCTCCTTTGTTGTCATTGGCATTACCCATCTAACTCCTAAAATGTTGAGAAAAAGGCCCCATACCTGCATGGTGAACAAACAATGTAGAAATAAATGATTGGCATCTTGGGTTTTTTGGTCGCATTGCAAACATTTGCTGCATATGTTGACTCCCCTTTTTTGAAGCTTGTTGTGTGTAAGACAGGCACCTCTTGCCACCAACCAAGAGAAACATTCAACTTTCAATGGTGCCATATTTTTTCAAATGCATCTCCAAGGCTAATTTATATCGGGGGACTTTAACTGCTTTAATGAAGAACAAACCTTTTGTATTTCTATTCCACCTCAAATAATCAGGTGTAGACAGTAGAGGAGGAACATGAAATTGGGAAAGCATAGAGGCAAGACTGCTCGTCTCCCTGTCAGTAATATTGTGTCTGAATGTGATGCTTCAACCAAAAACATATCAATATTCTGCTAATGATGCTTCCTGATTTTGTACCAAAGTAAACATGGAAGGATATTGATTCCTTAACGGAGAAGTACCCAGGCATGCATCATTCTAGAATCTCTCACGCCATTGCCAACTCCTATAGATGAAAGGGATCAAAAAGCTTACCAGTGAGCCCCACATGCCTCCAGGTGTGACATTTGCTAGGAATACGAGTTTGTTTGGTGATCGATAGATTAAGAAGACCAAATTTTGTTACAAGGACATTTCTTCGTAGTGCTCCTTCTTTGTTAAACCTCCGGGCCACTTGTATGGTAGACTAATGCTATTAGCCCTCAAGTCTTGACCCAAACGTCCTGCTTTTTTATCGGTAGATACCCCCCCTCTCCCCCCCGAGTTTACCAGGTTAAAATGTCGTATGTTCTTTATTACCTTGCCACATGAAATCTCTATTTAGTTTATCCATTCTTTGCGCCACAGAAGCCGGTAGAGGGAACAAGAACATAGTGCATGTGAGTAGGGAATCTATTACACTATTGATTAGCACTAGCCTTCTCCCAAGTGAGAGATATTTCTTCTTCCAACAGGAGAGTTGCTTTTGACACTTCTCCAAGGTATCATCCGAAATTGTAGTAGTATTCACCTTGTTTCCAAAAGAGAGGCTCAAATATTTGGTAGGGAGGGAATCTACTGTACAATCCATAATGCTTACAATCTCCTATAGGGGAACATCATTTACAGGGAAAAGAACACTCTTGGAGTAATTAATGTGGAGCCCCATACTGCTACAAAAAGAGGAGGACCATGCATAAATAGAAATTCTGCTCACGGTCTGCATCACAGAGAGTAAGAGAGTCATTTGCGTAAAGAAGTTGAGTGAGGTGCATTTCTCCCTGGTTCCTCATGCTTGGATTAAAGCCCTTAATCCATTTCCGTATCTCAGCTGCTGCCAACATTTTAACTAAGCCTTCCATGACAAAAGTGAAAAGAAAAGGAGAGACGGGATCTCCTTGTCTTAAGCCTTTGTGTGATGCAAAGAAACCTTTTGGGAGATTCATTTATGATAATGGGCAACTTTACAGTGGAGATGCAAAAGTGAATCCATTTGACCCATTTTTCACCAAAGACCATAGACTATAGCATGTTGATAAGGAATCCCAATGCACAATATCAAAAGCTTTCGGAATGTCTAGTTTACACAAAATTCTAGCCTTTCCTTGCATCAGTTTGGAGTCAAGACACTCATTTACGATAAGAGAAGCATCTGTTATCTTTCTGCCACTCACAGGAGCCGTTTGGGGAAGGGGAAACCAGCTTGCTCATAACTGTTTTAAGTCTGTTAGCAAGAAGTTTGACAGCACCTTATAAAAAATACCAATCAAACCTATTGGTCTATAAACCTTTAGCTTAGCACCTGCTTTCTTGGGAATAAGAGCAATATATGAGTCATTTAGGCTTCTTTCAAAATTTTCATGGGAATGTAAATGGTTTATGGCTTTGATAAAGTCATGTTTAATCTCGGGATATTTTATTTTCCAGTTGTTGTGATTTACACCTTGAAAAAAGCTGTGTGAAAAAGTTAAGCTTTTACCTAGACCTCTAATCTAGTAGAGCTTGGTAAGACGAGGCTGTTATGTACTGATGTCTTAGTTTCTTTTATCTTTTCTTAAATTTTTAATGACAGTTTGTCTAATGGTAATATATCTTGTGTGCCCTTTCTGACTTTTGCTAAATTGATGTTACTCAATAATCTTGTGTGCGTGCTTTAACCTTGTAGTGCTTTAGTTGCTACTATCTTCTTCAACTTAAGTAACCATTGAAATAAAAATGATTTAAAGATGTATTATGTATATATTTTCGTCTTTGCGTAAAAGGTTGTTTAGAGATGCTTTATTTAGATCCAAAAGAAAAGGTTGATTTTAAGATGTTATTACAGCACAACAATTTTGCAAATTTTTGAAGATAAGATTTGGATTTTCAAATGCTTGATTTGATTTATTTATACCTGTTGCTTGTTGTATTATGTAAAAAGAGAAAATCTTACACATGTAGTACTTGATGACCTTTTGTTTCTATCTTATTTTTTGAGCTAGCTAATATCTTACAGAGCAATGGGCTTCATTCTCATGGAGTAAACAAATGTTTGATATCTTTACCTCTATTACATCTAAGCGTACAAAACGTTTACGGGATGTGTTGCCCTTGTGTTGTGTTTGAACATCAGCGTTGATCCAACTGATGTAATAAAGATATCTCCTTGTGCTCGAATGCAGTGTTGGGTTGGTATGCTAAAATCTTCTTCTTCTTTTGCTTCTAAAAGAACAAGTACTTCTTCTTCTTTTTGCTACTATTCCTTATCTTTTAGACACGGTGAATATTTTACTGACGTGAATACTCAGGTATAGGGGCACACAAAATGTAAATAGTTATGCACAAAGATATGATTCTCTACGAAGAACACCAAATCATCTATGCTAACTGGACCTCATCGGTGCTCTAAAAATTGAGTAGAACCAAAAGACATGCTACTTAAGTAATATCCACCCTTAAAAAGTTCTCATGCTGCTGGTGGGAGGTAGCAGGTAGTACCCTGCGGAATTAATCGAGGTGCACGCAAGCTGGCCCGAACACCAAGATTATAAAAAAAAATCTCATGTTTCTTTCTCTTCATACAACTTACATAAGACCAAAGGTGTTATATCTTAAGTTCTACACCTCCTTTACCTTGTTTGAAGGCCCAATTGAATAATAAATCCTTGATTGTGATTTCTGTCATCCACTGGATGCCGAAAGAGTTTAACGCAGTTAACCATAACTGATTTTCAACCTGATAGTGTAACAGTAGGTGATCAATCTCTCGTGCTTCTGCACATGTAGCACCAACTGACCTATGTAGTCCTTTCTTCCTCTAGTTTTTCATTGTGAGAATGGTCTCCCTTACTGCTAACCAAATGAAAAAGCAGATCTTATTGGGAGTTTTGAGAATGCATGCCCATAAGTGTGAGAATAGTGGGAAAACTGTGATCCTTTCTACTCGACACCTTTGGTCGTTGTGTTCTACTGATGCCTGCTTCTGATTTCATATTCAACATAGGCCTCTCCTAGTAAGACATTGTTCAACTTAGGCGAAGAGCTTGCCGTTATGATTTTTTTGGGGGTTTGTGGGGGATGAATAGCTTTCCAGTGCTCTGTTGTCAAAGCCTTTCTCTTGATTTTTCGTCCATCATGTCCAATCAAGAGCAATATGGGCAATCCTCCCGTTTCTTTCGTCTTGTTTCTCTAGATTATGTTCTCATTTTGGACTTCGGTTGCATTTTTTACTTTTGGATTTCACTCAATACATCTTCCAGTGACAAATTCCTACACTCAATTTCTCTCTGCCAATTCTTACCCCCGTATTGTTCTTTCATGATTTTAACCCTCTAATGTGAAGTTTCCTGCCCCTAGGAATCTCTCTCCTCTAGCTTTTGCCCTTTTGTGAATAATAATCTTTGCAGGTTCTTCAGGGCTCTCAGTCCGTCACATAGCATTTGCTGAAGGCTCTGTGCCATACTTGTGGAGTAGCTTTTTGGGAACCTTTGAAGTTTTCCTGGTCTGTGTTCATGTTGTTGCTTATGTTATCACTATGACAACACAATAGTTGATGATAGTACTTCTTGTCTGATCTGTTGTTTTACTTGAATCTATTTTGGTATCAACTATCCTGGCTTCCGTAGTAAACAGTTCATATTCTCTTGGGGAGATTGGATGAATTTAGTTAAGATTTTACCTCTTAGTTGCAGTCAGCAATTTTCAAATCCTAGTGCTTGAAAATTTTGTCAACCAGCAGTTATTTAAGTACTTACTCTTATTCCCATATGACAGATCCATTTTCTGTGGCACCTCAAAAAGCCCTTGACACAATTGGGAGAACATTGAATGAACAATATGAGAGGTGGCAACCTAGGGTAAGAAAAATGTTTTTGTGTTAATAGATATCATGCGTGGACAAGGTCTAGGCTGTATTATTGTGGTGAGGTAATCAATAATTTAATTATAAATGACCCAAATATCTAACTATATGTAGGCACACTACAAGATCTCCTTGGATCCTACTGTTGTTGATGTTAAGAAACTTTGCACAACATGTAGACAGTATGCCAAGTCAGAACGAGTTCTGTTCCATTATAATGGACATGGTGTGCCAAAACCAACATCCAATGGTGAAATTTGGCTATTTAATAAGGTTTTCTTTCTTACTCAAATTGATTTCTCAGAGCTGTTGTGATATCTGTCTTTTTCTTATTGGGACATCTGGTTTAGAGTTATACGCAGTATATCCCATTGCCGATTACTGACCTGGACTCTTGGTTGAAGACACCATCGATCTATGTCTTTGACTGCTCAGCTGCTGGGATGATTGTTAATACCTTTATAGAGGTACATATTGTAATAATGCATTACATGCTTAACTATGAGGTGATCTACCCATCTGCTAAAAAAGGCTGAAGGAAGGAGACACAGAATTTGAGGCTAATCAGTTACCTGGTGATTTATTTAATGCAGCTCCAAGACTTGACTGTCTCTGATTCCTCTGGACCTTCTACGAGAGATTGTATTCTGCTTGCTGCTTGTGAAGCACATGAGACACTTCCTCAAAGTGCTGAATTTCCTGCTGATGTTTTCACTTCCTGCCTCACAACTCCAATCAAAATGGCATTGAGATGGTGACATGCTCTCAGCAAGAGTTGTTTATCCTTTATCCTTCCCCCCTTTTTCCTGCTTTCTGCTAAACCTGATCAATTCTACAATGGGGCGAACTAGCTGCAATACTTCATTGTTGGAAACGTTGGCATACCTTCAGTGGGTTTGGTTCCCGACTGATGGAATATTATGTTTTTCTCTTTATGGTATTCCATAGTTTATCTTAAACATCATGTCTTATTTAACCATATATTTGGAAAGTTAGAACAGCCTTTCTCACCAAAAGAATACTTGAACAACAGGACAAGTCTCTTTGATGCCCCAAAGTTACATGGCACCTCATATTTCAGGAACCACATGGTTGTCTATTATGCCAACCGTTGCTATAGATTAATATGATGTCTTAGGGAATTTCCACTTAGTATGTTTGAGCCTGCTTCACGTTTGATATTTGTTGTCAGAATTCCTTGATAAGCTGCTATTTTCTTTCAACCGTTATGACTAATCTTTTATTTCAAAAGAAATGCTTTGTGTTTGTTTTCTTTTTCTTTTTAACCTTTTGGTCAAATATGTTATAGCTAGTTATTCATTCCTCGTAATCTACTTAATTCTGTTTTTGGCTGTTAGGTTTTGCACACGGTCATTGATTCGTGAGTCACTTGATTATGGTCTAATAGATCGAATTCCTGGACGCCAAACTGATCGAAAGACACCTCTTGGTGAATTGAATTGGATTCTCACTGCAGTAACTGACACAATTGCCTGGAATCCACGAGGTAATGTGATAGACTAGTTAGTTTGATGCAGTTTTCTTAATCCTTTTTGCAGTTTAAACTCTTTCTAATCTGTGAGCTTCAAAACCACAGATCTATTTCAAAAATTGTTCAGGCAAGACCTATTAGTTGCTAGTTTATTCAGAAATTTTTTACTTGCTGAAAGAATCGTGCGTTCTGCAAATTGTTCACCAATTTCATACCCAATGCTACCACCTACTCATCAGCACCACATGTGGTAACTACACGAAACACTCAACAATCTACACAAATTCATGTATTACCTTCCCCTCATTGGGGTCTGCACTTGTTCCACAGGGATTCTTGGGACATGGCAGCAGAAATCTGCCTTTTGCAGCTTCCTACTTTGATTGATGATCCGAATGTGGAATTTCAGGTGGGGTAATGATTTGGTTGTATATTTTTAGTTCATAAAACTTGGTCTATATTCTCAAAAATTTGGTCCATGTATCTTTTCAAGATTAAATGTTTCCCATCTTTTGATTTCTTCAGCCTAGCCCATTCTTCACGGAAGAGTTGACAGCTTTTGAGGTTTGGCTTGATCATGGATCAGAGAATAAAAATCCACCAGAGCAGTTGCCCATTGTTCTACAGGTAAGAATTCTTGTGGTTCAAATAAAAGGAATGGCATTCTTGGTTCTTCTTACCATGAAATGGTGGCTTTAAGTGGTGCATGTTTCCTCATTCCCGCACCCCCTTTCAATTCGTGTGACTTAATATGATGAAAAGGTGGAGTGAAAACATTTGGTTGCTAGCATTCTTGTTCCTTGATGAAGCCTCAGTTGACCTCTGTGCATTTGCTTAAATTTGTTTACATAGGAGAATTGTTTTTGGATATCATGCTAAAATTTAGAATAATAGAATGTTCTCATGTAAAGAGAAAAATAACCAGAATGTCATTTCATTACGTGAGGAATGGTTAACTCTCCTCTTATATTACTTGATGAAGCCTCAGTTGACCTCTCTGCATTTGCTTCAGTTTGTTTAACTAGGAGAACAATTTTCTGGATATCATGCTAAAATTTAGAATAATAGAATGTTCTCATGTAAGGAGAAAAAAGTAACCAGAATGTCATGTCATTATATGAGGAACGGTTAACTCTCCTCTTATATTACTTAAAAGGCCATCAAGTATTGGATACTCCTCTCAGCACAATTGGGTCTTCATTTGTTTCATGTTTTGCTTACTGTATTTTTTTTGCTCGAGTAATCTAACAATCTATGGCAGATTATTGCACTATTTTTGTCAATTCTGGTGTATCCCATTTCCCTACTGTTGCAGAAGCAAATTACCACTAGGCAAGTGATTAAAGTTTCTGATGGTAAAACAGCAGAAGCATTGGTTTTAGTAATGTTAGTCTCAGTTAAAACAATTTCTTAGTTTTTTTTTTGGGAGGGTTTTCCTGAAGAATAATCGGTACCGTTCATTTCACGAGCAAATATTTTTGTTTGAATTGTGAAGTTTGTCTAGATTTACTTGGTGTATATCCTCTTGACCCGACAGAAGGATGCATAAATTGAAAAACCATAGTTCTCCCTAAGATACAAACTTATTGCGAATTATCTTGCGAAATTTTTCCTATTTATTAGGTTCTCTTAACACTCTCGAGGGCTTTGTTATTTTGGTGCACTTTTCTCTTTGTATGGGATGATAACCAGGTTATTCTTTGTTATTAGGTGTTACATACTCAATGCCACCGGTTCCGTGCACTGGTTCTTCTTGGGAGATTTCTCGATATGGGACTTTGGGCTGTAGATCTGGTACTTATTGGTGGTGCTGCATTTCAAGTTTCTTGTTAATTAGGCTGGTTGCATCTAACTTTCTGCGTCTAATTTTCAAGTAATACTTAAGTGAGCAATTTTACTTCCAGGTCTTGTCTGTTGGAATATTTCCTTACGTTCTAAAGCTTTTGCAAACCACGACTCCAGAGCTTAGGCAAATTCTTGTCTTCATTTGGACGAAGATCCTTGCTGTTGATAAGGTACATGAATTGCTTTGACTCATCACCTGTGTCATTCTCATATTAAATCTCCAATGTTTCATTTTTATCTATATTGTTCCTCATATAAATGTCTCACCATCTCTTTCTGGACCTATTTACCATTAGTTAAAAATAATAGACACGGTAGAGAGAATCGAGAAAATGCGAGAAAAGTAGCGTGCTTCACCTGGATTGCATTACACAAAACATGTTTAACTCTAGTAAACTTTGGGGACTCGGCATGTGGAGTTGATGCCTTTTTCTTCTTCTTTCGTTTAACATCGGAACAACAGTTCCTGCACTGTCCCATGTCTTGGCAAATCTGGGGATTCTTCAATAACCCATTTAGTATTAACTGGTGAAAATCTCTCGATGTGATCTGCAGCTGAAAGACAGAGGATAAGAAGCAGCATAAGGCTCTATGAAATGCTATCATCAATCTGTGTTTAATATGGCAATCTGGAACAAAATAAATATTAGATGTTGTTATGGGAGAGCAGGGGATCCTTCCACAACAATAATAACAATGTCTTAATCACAAAGTAGTTTGGGTTGGTCATATGGAACCTCAGTATCCATTCCACTCCATTAGATCCATTTCGTTCTAGTACGTGATAATTTATTCCGATGCGAAATGCCCGACCACGAGAGTTATCACAACTCTTTAGTGTCGTTTATTTGGATCTTTTCTTTCCATTGCGTTCTATTCTTAGCTAAATGTGTAAGGATTTTGAGAGATTGTAGGTCTTTTGAGACTACTTTCTTTTATGTGAATTTAGGTCTATCATGCCCTTTGTTAACGCCTTGAATCATCATAGTACACTTACAGGTGCATTTGAAGATCTTTGTAGGACATTGTTCATCTTAGACGACCTGTAAATTTTGTCCTTTGTGTGTGTTATTTGTACCTTCTATCTAAAGTGATTATTATGATCTTATCTAACCTTGTATGACCAATCATCTTAATATTCGCTTTTCTAAAATACTCATCTTGTCGATATGCTGGGCCATAGATGCTCAACAGTCACTCTCATGTTACATTGCTTGTTCTGCAAATGTTGGATAAAATTTACCTTTTGCTTTGCTATGTATCTTCTAATAGCAAAGCAATCCGGTAGAACTCTTCCATTTCAATGATCCTATTTGGGTTCTATGTATTACATCTTACAGTAAAAGGAGCTATAGTCTTTAGAGTGTCCAGTTGACAGAACTTTCTTAGTGCTGTTTCTGTCAACAACACAACTTGCTTAAAAAGCAAGTGTTTAAGAACATACAAGAAATTTTAGCTGTTACTCTTTATCTTATTTTGTTTTTGTGATCTTGGACACAATCCATTTGGATGCTTGCTTCACTATGGTAATATCACCAATAGGAAGTTAGTTCCCAACTTTTGGGTTTTTTAAAATTCTTTTTTTTTCGGGTACAGAACATCTCAAAATAATACATAATCTGCTTTATCTAAGTAATGAACTTACAGAAAACAAAACCTCCGGCCAGGTCCATCGACCAAGTACTTTGGAAAGGAAGAGATTACCGCTGGATTTACACAAGTAGTTCTGTGTTTTTATATGAAGAATAAACCCAAATAGTCGTTCACCCAATTGCTTAAACTAAAAATAGCCGGTGGAGGTATAATATATGCATAATTTGTGTATTATATGTGTATAATTGTGTATAATCAATATATAATCTATGTATATAGTTAGAAAAAGTAAACAATGAATATGGCCGGTTGTTTGTGTAAAAATTCCTTTTTATATTTTCTTAGTATTTTGAAGATCTTGAATGCTTTCTTATTCTTTATTCCGGTGTTACCTGAATCTACTGATACATTTGTGGAATCTAATATGTTGATAGAGTATTTTCTTTTCTCCGTCGTTTAATGTTTGTCGCTGTGTTTTTTCTTTCTTTGATCGAATATACTATGTAGAAACTATGTATTAAAGTGTTCAAATTTCTTTATTTTCTTTCAGAATCTTCGTGCTGTCATTTGTCTTAGATAACTATCTCTACTAGTTTGTGTTTCTTGATTCACTCTGTGTGATCTGATCCTCTAGTTTAATATTCATTTGATTAAACTTTTCCTGTGAGAAAACAGTCTTGAGCATCATCTGCATCTAGGAAGACAACTTTGTATTTAAGTTAATGTGTTGACAATTAGTGTTATTTTGGATTTGGTGAATTCTAGACTTAGATTGTGACTGCTATTGTTTAGTATTTGGTGATGGATTTTAGACTTATTATATTTTATGTACTTTGGTTGTGAATTGTGACTCTTTATTTCTCATCATCTAGTTTGGGTATTTACATTTTATTAATGTTGTTTGGTTTAGTAGTCTGCCACGGTATATTTCTGTTGGATATTTAGCGTGATTGTATGGTGTTTTTGCACAAAAAACTTGCGCTAATGCTTGAGCTTGTAATTTCAGCAAATTGGTACATATTTGATTCTTCGGTAATCAAAAACTGTTTGATCAATTTCTGGAGAATCTGAATCAATACATAAGTATTGGAATCAATTCTGACTCAATTTATTTATTGTGTTAATTACTTTCCGATTGTCAGGCCCAAACCAAGTATAGCCTATTTTTGAAGCAGAAAATAGGCCAGCATACCAAGCCCATACCGAACAAACTATACACTGAACCGACCACCCACCCCTAATTACATGTAATTTCGTGGCACAAGTTAACTTTAAGTAGATGTTTTACACATTTTGCTTACATGTCAATTTGAATTTCTCATCAGCTTGCATCTGGTGAGATTTCTTCTATCATGGCTTGGGATCTTGACAAAGAGCAGCTTGTAAATACTACTCCAACATCCTCGGATTACAGCATCTCAGCATTGGTGAGTTTTTTCACATTGCTCTGAGAGTTTATAGTATTATTTTATGTGTTCATTTACTAGAAAACCGTTTAGCATTGTTTAAGTATTTGTTTTCTATCTTGTGCTTGGATATTGAGAAATGAATAAAGACGATTGTAAAATTTGAGCAAACTGCTAAAGAACCATGAAATATTGATGAATGAAATGGTCTCCAAAGAACACCCCTCATTCCTCAACACACACGCGCGTGCGTAAACATGTACATATGTATTTTTTTTTAGTCTGAATACATATGGAGACACTTAAAGTTGGCACAAATTTTTATTTAGACACCTGAACTTAAGGGTGTTCCTAATGAACACGTACATTACACGAACTTTGTTCCAATTAGGCACTTCTTGCTGAGTTGGCAAATAGAGTTTCACCCAATATAGGCGCGTGAAGAGCCCAAAAAATAGATTTTTTTGTTTTTTTTCTTTTTTATGTCCACCACTGCCTCCTCCACTTTCACCATTGTTGTGCCTCCACCATTGATTTAGCTCGAAAGTTTGAACCAACAATCGTCCCTATTGATTAAAAATGATTGAGTCCGAGTTCTTCATTTCAAATCGAAACACCATTAATGGGGTCTTTAAAAAGCTTGAAGGTTTAAAATGGGTTACTTGATTTGATGAAAGTTTGAGAAATTAATGTTGGGGTTGTCTTCGGGTCGTCGTGGGGAACCTATTTTCCACCACCTGCTTACATTGTCATGATATATCTGTATGGCTTGCATTGGGTGGAGGAGGAGGTAATATATATATTTTTTTCAATTAAATAGGCTGGCCTGTCTCTTTTGGGAGTACTAATTCTTAGATCTCTTGTTCGTCTTTGCTTTATCCCCTTTTTCCGCTATCCTCAGGTTCTGTGCTAAAACATGTAGTGTTTTATTGGCATTTTAAACAATTTTATCACGTGGGTGAGGATGACAGTGTCTGTATCCGACAATCAATTCGGGTTCATGCCGGGTCGTTCGACTACAGAAGTTATACACCTTGTTAGAAGGTTGGTGGAACTATACAGAGAGAGGAAGAAGGATCTGCACATGGTGTTTATTGACCTAGAAAAAGCGTATGATAAGGTTCCTAGAGAAATTCTCTGGAGATGCCTGGAGGCAAAAGGTGTGTCGATTCCCTACATTATGCAATTAAGGACATGTATGATGGGGCTAAGACTCGGGTTAGGATAGTAGGAGGCGACTCTGAGCATTTTTCGGTTGTAATGGAGTTACACCAAGGTTCTGCGCTCAATCCGTTCTTATTCGCTCTGGTAATGGACGCATTAACACACCATATTCAAGGGGATGCGCCATGGTGCATGCTATTCGCCGATGACATAGTTCTGATTGATGAGTCGCAAGCCGGTGTTAACGAGAGGCTGAAAGTTTGGAGACAGGCTCTTGAGTCTAAGGGTTTCAAGCTGAGCAGGACGAAGACGGAATACCTGGAGTGTAAGTTCAGCGCTTAGCCAGGGGAAGTGGGCATGGATGTGAGGCTTGATTCGCAGGTCATCCCGAGTAGAGGCAGCTTCAAGTACCTTGGTTCGGTTATCCAGGGGGGAGGGAAGATTGACGAGGATGTCACACACAGTATTGGGGTAGGATGGATGAAGTGGAGGTTAGCATCTGGAGTCCTGTGTGACAAAAGAGTGCCACCGATAATCAAAGGTAAGTTTTATAAAGCGGTGGTTAGACCGGCCATGATGTATGGGGCTGAGTATTGGCCCGTTAAGAACTCACATATCCAGAAGATGAAAGTAGCAGAAATGAGGATGTTGCAGTGGATGTGCGGGCATACTAGGATAGATAAGATTAGGAATGATGATATTCGGGAGAAGGTGCATGTGGCTCTCATTGATGACAAGATGCGGGAAGCGAGGCTTAGATGGTTCGGACATGTTCAGAGGAGAAGCCCAGATACTCCGGTACGGAGGTGTGAGCAGCTGGTTGCGGAGGGCACGAGAAGAGGTAGAGGACGGCCTAAGAAGTATTGGGGAGAGGTGATCAGGCAGGATATGACGAGGCTCCAGATTTTCGAAGACATAACACTTGATAGGAAGATGTGGAGGTCGAGTATTAGGGTAGTAGGTTAGGAGGTAGTTGAGTCGTGCCTTACTTCGTACCATGGTGGGACTAGCCATGTAGAGTTTTTGTCTAAGATAGCTAGTGGGAATGTTGTGGCTTACTATTTCGCTTTTCAGTGCATGTCCTATTTACTAGCTATCGCTTTTGCTTTGCATCTTTCTTCTAGATTTTATGGTGTTCCTATTTTTCTTATGACTGTTGTGGTGATACTAATATTTACTAATATTGTCTCCCTTTGCTTTGCATCTTTCTTCTGGATTTTATGGTGTTCCTATTTATCCTATGATTGTTGTTGTGATACTAATATTGTCTCATTTTTTGTCCTTTTATCTTTTTGTTTTTTGAGCCGAGGGTCTTTCGGAAATAGCCTCTCTACTCCTTCAGGGTAGGGGTAAAGTTTGCGTACACACTACCTTCCCCAGACCCCATTAGTGGGATTTTACTGGGTTGTTGTTGTTGTTGTATATGTTACATGTTTTTCCTGGATGCTCTAACCATGCCACTTATTTTTGTGATGACATCTATTCTTTTTCATGCCTTATGCAGTCTGCTTCTCAAGTTCATGCGGGTCAATTTGTTGCTGGCTTCGTGGATGGATCGGTCAAACTATTCGATATTCAAATGCCAGAAATGTAAGATGTAGTACTAGTAATTCATGAGCATATATATGTCTGCACGCACACTTTTTCTTGTATATGGATCTCAAGTACATTATTCGAATTGGTGGTGTGGACTTGCATTAACTTAGATCCATACCACCTATCCGCACATGCATGTAATTTTTTTATGCATAAAATACATCAATATTCAGTGGTTTTTGACTGTTTAATTTGTGTTTGTTTAGGCTTGTTTGTGCAACACGACCTCACCCCGAAGTGGAAAGAGTTGTTGGGGTTGGCTTTCAACCTGAACTTCAACCAGCGAAGGTGATTATCACTAACCCCTTCATATCTGGCCTGTCAACTTGTCTGCTACTGGTTTGTCAGTAAACCATCTTTAAAAAGAAAAAGTACGCACACATACACACTCTCTCTGTCTCTCTATTTCTCTCTGTGTTTAATATCACTTGTTCCAACAATTACTTCTACTTGTGGCAAGTTTTTTTCTCACAAATGTTCTCCTATATTATCAAAGCAAATGAGAAGTCATGAACTTTCTCTTGTTTCTTCTCAGGTTGTCAGTGCATCTCAGGCTGGTGATATTCAGTTCCTTGATATGAGAAATCTCAAGGAGGCATACTTGACCATTTATGCTCACAGGGGATCACTTACATCTCTGGCGGTCCATCGTCATGCACCCCTTGTAGCTAGCGGTTCATCTAAGCAACTTATCAAAGTGTTCAACCTGGAGGGTGAGCAGTTAGGCACTATTAGGTATTTGTCCACCTTTATGGCTCAGAAGATAGGATCTGTAAGATGTCTTACCTTCCACCCCTATCAAATGCTGCTTGCTGCTGGTGCAGCAGATGCTTGTGTTTCTATCTATGCTGATGAGGTCCCCCCACCAAGATAATAACTACATAACTTCGTCTACAAACCTTCAGATTGAGAGGCTAGATTTTCAGACTTATGGTGTTCCTTTAAGGTGGTCAGTGGTGGATGCGTTGTTGACATCTTCTGGTCCCTTGTCGGCCTCTCTGAAATACTGATTGGCTCGCTGAGATTGCAGTTGACATCTTCTGGTCAGTTGCGGTCAACCTCTCTCAAATACGGATTGGCTCACTGAAGTTGCATGCTACTTATTTATTGAAAATTTAGAGTCAGTATCAGAGTGGTGGAAAGTTGAGAAGAATCAACATACTGGAGGGAAGCGTTGGAGAATAATTCGATAGAGGTAAAAAGATGTAGATATCTTCATTCTTTGTTGTTATAGTTTGTAAATTCCATTTTCTCTAGCTTGCTGCTTTAGTTCAATCTTCTCTCTGCTTAGCTTACCTTCTTTTCTCCAGTCAATTTGTACATATCAACTAGCCTCCATTTGTGAATTGTGATGCCTTCTCCTGATAATAATTTTAATGTTGAAAACAGTATGATAGTTAAACAATCTTTTAAGCTTTGGATCACCTATTTCTGCTCACTTTCATGTCAACAGCAGTTTATCGACCGCAATCGATTCCAATAATGAGTTTGAATAGGTTTAGGGACGTGGCTCGAAGATAAAATACTTCTTGCTATGGAAAATTGCTATTCATTGACTACGTCAATAAAGCACAGCTTTTCAACGACTGATGTCCGATATTGGATCAGGCCCTTGTTCATTTTTTATTCTCTCCATATTTCCAAAGTTTGTACGGAGTATTTATTTTTTCGATACTACATTTAAATATCAAAAGTTCAGATTTATTAGGGGCCAGAACCTAATGAAAGATTTATTCTTTCTTTTTTGCTTTATTAAGCCGATGGTTTTCTGGAAACAAACTTTTTATTTTCACAAAGTAGGAATAAGGATTGTGTACATACTACCTGTTGAAATTGTCAAAAGTCCCACATCGGTGGATGGCAATTTTGAATGGGAATTTCACCCTATAAAAGGAGGCCTAATGTTTAGGATTTAAACACACCTCTCATTTGCCTTTTTTATCTTCTTAAGGCATTTGTATCTTCTATCTTTAGTATTATTTCACTTGTAATTTTGCAGTGGAATAAAATATTGATTGTGTCCGAGAAAGTAGGCAAAATTTGCCGAACCTCGTAAATTTTGGTATTCTTTTATTGTTGTCTTATTCTCTTGTTTATTATTTAGTGGTTGTCATAATTTTTGGTAT